ACGAATACCAGCTATCAATATCACTTACATTTCAATAACTTATACGGGGATGTAGTTGCCTTTTGGTGTATAGAAAATCTTGCCAGTAGCAAAGCGTCTCAGGATTTCCCTAGCTAACAGTCTCTTTTCTTTTTTAATTTTCTGGAGAACACCCTTATTTTCGTGTGCCCTTCTCGACAAGTAGGGCAATACTTCGTTCACTGGGCCATACGGGATGTATTTGTAAGCAGAGTAGCCAGATTGTCCTAAAACCGATTACGAAAACACATGATTGTGTATTCTAATTAGATTGAGTTGTTTTATACGAACCTAACGGGAACGTGATGTAATCGCACATGGCCAACAACTGGCCAAAGCAAATTACTTTATCAGATGGTTCAATCGCAAATTCCTTCATTTTTTCTATGGCGAATCGTACAGTATCCTCATTGTGAGATGCCACCATGATAGCAATCATCTTGTCCTCTCCCTTATCTTTGAAAGCCTTAATTCTTCTCAGACACTCGGTCAGTGTTTTGTGATACATTTCAGTAGTAGCTTCAAAGTTGGGGTTAGTAGGATCAGGGTAGCCCATAGCAGCAGCTCTCGCGCGTTCCTGCAAAAAAGCGGACGTTGAAAATCTGAAACAGGCATCGTTTGAGAAAATTCAAACACAAAATAAACGGTGAAAGCACGTTATCCTGTTGACTACTCAACAACTGAAATTTAGAAATAGAACAAATTAACATATCGCATCCGACTAAGAATCCGACGTTCACACAGGACAAATTACGAGTTGGAACATCAAACTGCTAACTAAGAAATGTTTAATTGGAAACTTGCGCTGTGCATTTTGGGCTGTTTTACAATCTGGCTTAAAATATATGATTGATATGATGATGATTCTGAATCTGTATTCGATCGTTTTTGTTGTTTGATACAAAGTTTAAGGTAATAGTAGTTTAAGGTAGAGGTAATATTTTCAGTAAATCTGTTGTAATGTCCTAATCATTAATAGCCTTAGCTTGATTTAGGCAATAAAGATTTAACTTGCTCTTGTACCAGTGGTCAAAATACGTGTTAAGATTAGAAAGGGTAAACGCATGGTTCCTACAAGAAATAAAATTTTCAGATTTGTGAAAATGTCTAGTGAATGAGTTTTTGTACGCAATTGGTTTATCTTTTCCATATAGAGCACATTATTTCAATTTTAAATGTTTGGAAACAATGATACAAGTTCATCCAGTCGTTTTGTATAATTGTGGTAAGCGAAGACAAAAAAAATAAGATTTTGGAAGAGTCCATGTTTCAATATACGGGTCTTGAATTTTCATGAACATGAACATTTTCGAGAACTTTTCCCTGAACATTTTCGAGTAAGCCGAGAAGTGGCTGAAGATAAAGCCAGACGATTTGAATTGTAAATATTGCTTTAGAGTGGTGGTTCAGAGGTGTGCTGTGGTGGTGAATTTTGAAAACTCAGTGCTTATTCCTACACAGTTATGTTTTTGTGGTTTGATGGTCATGACGCAGTATCATACAGGGATGTTGCAATAGATTTGGTATAGCAATTAATATTTAATGACTAGCTACAGTTCTATAAGTTCATAATAAAATCATATATAAATCAACACTATCAGACTATGAATGCTTTCACAGTCGGTCAAATCACATTTAGAAATGTTTTCCGGGCTTTGAAGCCGTGGCCCATGGGAATTTATCCCTGACGTTTCGTCCACAACTGCGGTGGACATTATCAAAGGCGACGAGGCAGTCGGCGAAGTGATCTACCGTGCTTACCGACTAAGACTGGTTCAACTACTGAACAGCCCGGCCGTGTGAGCTCATGCGTAGGGAGTGGGCGGGGCTTCAAATGTTTTGGCGCACACGCTGTTTGCCGCAAAACGCTCTTGAAATCTGGATTAAGGGCCGTTACTTCTTCTTTCCTATTAAAATTGTTGTCATGTTTGAAGATCTCAATGGCCTCTCTGGTTAGTCTCGGGTAATAGCGTTAAGATTGGTGCAAAATGTCCACTTCATCGAAACGTATTTGGTGGCCGTCTCTCTCTCAGTGCGTGCTCCGCTACTGCTGATTTTTCTGTTTGTCCTAATCTGTAACTTGTAACACTACGTTTTGGGGTGCCGATGTATGCTATGCCACAACTGCGTGGAACTCTGTAGACTCCTGGTGCTGATAAAGAATCCCGTTTGTCCTTGGCCGATCTCAAAGTCTGTTGGATTGTTCGAGTTGGTTTAAAAACTGTTTTGACTTTGTGTTTCTCCAGTATCCTGCCGATCCTGTCCGTGACTCCACGTATGTATGGGAGGCAAGCCCAACCCTTACGCTCATTATGCGTATCTGTTTTCTCCGGACGATATCCACGGTTTCTTGGTCGAATTGCTCTATTGAACTCGTTCTTGCTGTATCCATTCCAACTAAAGGCCCTTTCTAGGTGTTTCAATTCTCTTTCTAAGTCAGCTGGTTCGCAAATTCTTCTGGCACTTTCGGTGAGGGTTTTAATGACTCTAAAGCCCGGAAAACAGTTCTAAATGTAAATCAATATTATTTTTAAATAAATTTCGGCATGCTTCCATTTGATCAAAAAATATTTTTTATGGATTTCGCACACCAAATGCATAAAGTAAAAGCATAAAAAATTCACCAATTTCTTAAAACTTAAGTTCGTCGAACGACGGGCGAATTGACAGATCTCATGGGACAGAGGCTTAAACCCATACCTGGGACATGGACTTTCATAACAATTTGTAAGCGATACTAAATATTAATTGTAAAAGTAATAATAATAACAATAGTCGTAAGCGAAATATGTATACATATAAAATAGTCACCGTTACGTCTACTTGTTGAAATTAATCACATTCGTTTTTATAATAAAATATTTAAAATATTGTTTGTTTCTCTTTGCAATTCATTGCTATGAGCATTAAATCAACCTAATTTACAAATTAGAGATCTTCGGCTTGAAAGAAACTTGAACTTTCATTCAGACCGGGTGTCAGTCAGAAATGTGTTCTTAGACCCAAAAATGTGCATCTCATTTGAAAAGGATCCCGATTCGTGCACGCTTAGTGTAAAATGACCAACCAGTTGACTACCGAACAAACCGGTTTATATTTTACATATTTTTTTATATTTATCTTTTAAATCGTTTTGATATGAAATACCTTCATTGTAATAAAATCGATTCATAATCTGCATACAGAAATGTAAAAAAACATCAAGATATATTCTTTACCTGTTCCAGATAAGCCCCGCGTACGAGCTTTGCTCCGAAATAAAAGTTTTGACGCTTGGCCTGTTCGAGATCGGTTGTTACTTCAGTTAAGGCATTTCTCAAGTAACATTGATAGGTGTTGAAGACAATTGCCTTTTCTTTATTGTATTTCCTCATGAACTCCAAAGTGATGCGAGTGATGGCAGGTTGGAAGTAAGTTTGTTCTGCGTCCACCATTATGCGTACATCCATTTCTTGAGCAGCCTAACCAAAAGCAAACGTTAGAACCTAAATATCTCAATTTCTATTAGGTTTCGCCGTGTAGACAAAGCCATTTGCTTCTACAATTGAAACAACTATCAATAAAAGCTAATAAAAATGGTATACCTTGACAATTGTGTTTATCCTTCTGATCATGTTCTTAAACATCTCCTCTTCCTTTGTGGACAATTGTGTTATAAGTCTAGCCATGCGTCCAGTCTTTAAATCGGGTACTCGAAAAGTAGTACTTAGTTCTTGATTCTCATCGATAATTCCAGACCATGGAAACAAATGGAGAATACTGAAAATAAAATAAATTATGTAAGATGGCATGTATTTAGTTAAGTGCTAGGTAGCGATAGTAAAGAGAGTTAATTAAAATGATATCGGATCTGCGTTCGTATATGTTACACAGTTGATAAAACAATAAAACCGATGCAGCAGTTTCAAGTGTGCTCTTGTACTAGGAAATTTATAATTTAAAGAAAAATTACTTAAAGATTTAAAGAAAAAAAATTATTTAAAGAAAAAGTACATTATTTTCTTATCTATAACTTTTGAATTGAACGTTTTCCGCTAAGAGGTCATATTTCGTCGTAAATGACAAAAACCCGTTTTCGACTACTTTCAATTTCCAATGTTTAAATTTTATTTTTTCTAAACTTGGAACCTAACACATTTTTCACTTGGTCCTTGCCTGATATTATTTTTTTATTATATGAAATTTGTTTCGGCGCCAGCCTATTCGGAACAAGTACTTTCTCAAACAACTGTTAACACAACGTACCCTTCCTTGTCGTAGGTTACTTGGGTGAGGAACTTTCGGAGAGATTCCTTGTCTTGAATTTTTTCGAATTTCGATTCGAGTTCTTCGGGTTTCGTGTGATGGCTCAAAACGTTACCTTCTCCTCCAACGATTTCCGCCATATACTGACGAGTTCGCATGATTACTTCAGAAAGTTGAAGCTAGAACAATAAATAAATACACCCAATCAAAAAAGATTTGTTTTGTAATAATAATTAAATATCTTGAAATTAAGCTAAATTTAAAAAGTGTATTTATCACAAAACCTTCAACTCAAAACCAAACGCTAGAAAGTCAGAAATGGTAAATTATTCGAAGTGAAGTGCATTTTAACGGTATTCGCACAAGGTTTGGCCTGTTTATCAATAAATGAATCTTAACATTTAATATTGCGAAAGTTACTAGACACAAATAAAGCCAACACTTTTATTTGTCATTTTTTATTCAGCCTTCTTACTCAAGTGCAGTTATTAGTATCTACATATACATATAGAACTTCAGAACATTTTTTTAATTATATAATTTAATTGCACTTAATCGACAAGATCACGACTAGATTATTATTGCAAAAAGTATAATCTGCATTCGCTGCATGAAGGAAACTAACATCATTTCTCCTACGAAGCTTACGGCATATACTTACCAAAAGTTGAGGTCTGCCCAAGGCAGTCAGCTTAATGGCTGTAATGCCAGTGCCATAGGTGGCTCCTGAAACAGAAGAGATCAGCATTTATTCAGCAACTAAGTTGCCAGTTCCAAAACAATTTCGATACAATTATAGTTAATGATATTGGATGTTAGTGGTATTTACGTATCATCCATCATAAACTCTAATAGAACAACAAATTTCTTGCATGATGTATACGAATGACAAAGCCTACGAATTATGTAGTTGGAACAAAATTAATACCATTACAAACAACTGTCAACTGAAGCACTGGTTATTTACAAAATACAAAATACTGACTCCACTTGGATTAATTGGATAAAAAAGAATGCAATATAATGTTTTGAATAAAAGCTGTATGCAATAATAGGTCTTGAAGCAGTTAATGTTCACAAGCAATATTACCATTGAACACATTTACTTTTTTATATAGCATCTTCTAAATTAACACGTAGTATGTGCGGTAAAAAGTTTATGCAGCTTTATTAATTAGCTTTATTTATCTTTTAGTTTCAGAACGAACAAATGGCAGCTAGTGAATTTGACCATAATAAAGAATGCCACTTTGAGAATATTAGTAAGTTTTAAATATGTAGTTAGACAGAAATGAAATGATATTTTTTGCTTTTTGCTAAGCTGCATCCGAAATAACATTGTTTAGCACAGAAAGCCAGTTGATGCTAGTTGCTCAAATTATTTAAATGAATTAAAATATAAATACATTTTAAAACTACCCCCAAACCATTATATATAAAAACTACAGTAGATCCGAAGAAAAATTTTGAATTTGAATTAATCAACGTCAAAAAAACTACTGTTAATCAATGGCAATCTACAAAAAATACGGTCGGACAAGTAAGCTTCGAACATCTTGAAAGCCTTATAATCTACATCAAAAACATCTAAAGGGGTTTTCCACAGCGGTATGCGATAAAGTACATAAAAAATTAACTCGACCCAATAAATTCCACACGACTGAATGCGACATTTTAGTTTAACTACTCAAATAAAAGAGATAAAGCTCTTTCCACATTTAAAAAATAGTTAAAGAAAAAGCGTTGAAAAAATCTATTCTATTAAGAAGAGTTAATACTTTAGGTACTATATCGATATCCCATGTCTACTTGGAGAAATTTGTTTTACTTTTGAAACAATCATTTTATACTTATCCTTATAGTTACCACTAAAATCTGACGTAAAACTTCGCAATCGGGTTATGCCAATTAAATCTGTATCAACAATTTTGCAACCGTCGCACCGGTTAAGGCTTCCAGATTTTAGGTATTTTGGATTTTTATTTGATTGCGTGTATACAAGAGGGCTTGCTTTTTCTACTTTACCTGGGTTGCTCTTCTGGTAGTCTAGACAAAAAACAATTGGGCAATTATAACAACTTGCAAAAACAACTGTTAAGCAAAGATCAAAGAATATCTAGGGGATTAAGTAAGTATCTGATTTACAGTTACACTTATCGTTCAGAGGACCCTACATTTCAATTACAACGACTGCATGAAAATTATTTTTAAATATGTGCATTTTTCCTTAGTTACTTCACATAGACATAGACAACTGCTTGTAGTTAGTTTGGTGCAGAAATAAGGTTGCTTTCCGACAATAGCACAGCGAGCACTTGCTTTTAGAGTGCGCCCGTTCTGCTGGGAAGATTATTTTTAAAATTGAAATAGAATATATAAATACACTCTTAAACAGCATACGTAGCAACTAAAATACTTTTGCGATTTGCATTGTATTGAAGTCACAATATGCTTTGTTAATGTGCTTGTCCTACAAATATTGTGTCCAGATGAGGTGAATAAGACAAAAACATACAAACAAGGTCATTGCGCAAAATGCCTATTTTGTATTGATTAAGACTTATCTCAAAATCTTGCCCAAAGGTTCGTTCATGGTTTTGTTATTTTAAAGTTCGGCCATATACCTAGGAAACATATCTTCTTTTAGCACATTGCTATAGTCGAAAATCAATGAAAGCGTAAGTGAGTTAACTTGACTATTAAATTTACTTTCAGTTCTAATCTATAATTATTTACAAACATCAATAAATGAACAAAATAGTGAGCTTCAATTATCAACTGACGAAATATGAATTATATAATGGATTATGCATCCCAATAATCATGGTCTGGCATAAACGCGTCGCAGTCAGTATTTTAGCCAAGAATTTGGACCTTGAGAAAAGCGTTGCCTTGCACAAGTGTTCCATTACCTGTGACTCTGACGTATACATTTCAAAATCGTTAAAATACTAGTTTAAAGTGAGTTATTTTTCGTAGGTATATCAATCTGCTATTTACTCACATAAAAAGCTAATATATAGTTAGACATGGCTATTGGGGTTGCTCAGTTTATGAATATATGCAATTTTAAACACATTTTAGCCCTCACCGCTATACATTTCCAACTGTTGCCTGCAGTTAATTTAAACCAGCCATAAATACTTTTCTTTTATATAATTACAAGTAAATTTGATATTTTTTACATAAACTTAGTTGAGTCCTTATCAAGAAATAACGTATTGCTAAAAAATTTGATACAAAAAAATTTAGATGGTACGATACCTGCTGTTTATATACGAATATAACCAAGCCGTTATCTAAGTTCAAACATACAATAGTCGCTTACTCTCTAAAGTCTATTTATATTCATTTCGTTACATAAAAAGTGCAACTGATTCGAAAGTTTATTAATAGTTTTAACCTTCTCAACAGTATATTTCTAACTGCGACACGTCCATCCAATTGAATGTAGACCGTTACAATATTGATTTGATTTTCCAGATGAACCAATGCATCTTTCAGTTAAATAAGCAATAATTGCAACAATACAAGGCCAAACTATGAGAATTTTCAGTTGCAATCTGAAACGGTAAGGAGATTATATGACTGGTAGATTATTACAGACGTATACCATGATAGTGAAAATATATTTTGTCAATTAGAGGATTAAAAATAATAACTATAATCTGGTGTAATCATGCTTTACTAGCGAGACTAAACGCGAGAATTATTTAATACAGATCCTAGTAGGTAACAAAAATTTTAAACAATTACAAGAGTTTTACCGATATTAAAGCTATAACTCCATTTGCGGATGTATAATTTTACGAATAAATAGATATTTTTCGATTGTGATATTTCATTCGGTAACGTATCATTCGATTTATTGTCTCGTAGTTCGCAAATAGCGTGCAATGTTTGTTTTAAAATCCAAGCATTGTTATGTTTTATTTATACAGTAGCATCACATATTACAAGTTTATATAGTAAAGACAGAAGTTATCTGGAAACAGTAAAAATTACTGTATATGTGGAGACAACAATTTCCAACACAAAGAGTGACTGACTTTCCAGTGAAGATTATACCATCGAGTAACTGCAAAAATACCGAAGTGAAAATAATTTTCTGCAATCATTAATATATGAATAACTTTGTATAAACTGGTCGTATAAGAAAAACAGCAAACTGGTGAAATGAGCGGTTTGTGTGAGGAGCACTGTTTTCCCGAATTGTATACCATTAGAATTTGAAGCCGCTAAAAGAAAAACCGTTGGGTTCCGAAATTACGGATCTTGGGAGACCATTGTATCTCCCAGAAAATTTGTTTTCCATATTCAAACCTCTTCACTGTTAGTTCTTGCTGGTACCTCTTCGAAGCTTAATAAGTTTAGGAAATAAGATATGTGAAAATATTTTGTTGCAAAACTCCGAAACTTCCTCGTCTTGTTCTGATATTTGTGTTAGTCCCTTAATTTATTTTAGAATTAAGTCTAGATATCATATATATAGTGACCTAAGTAAAAAAGTCGTAAAGGATAACAGTGACAAAACGCCAAGGTGTAAGTTGTGGAATATCGCCTAAAAGTCGAATGGCGGCTTTCTTAAAGCTTGTGTAGCAAATCTCTCCCTAAAGTAGCCCAATCCGGCCACACTGAATAATTCTTGAAACCAGTACTGTTGAAGGAGATTTCTAATTAGTTTAAATTTTGTTGGTTTCTATCATTGCTCGGAAATTGAGCAATAGTTTCATTTTTAAGTGATTTCTTTGCGTGTTTTTTGTTTAGTCAATATTTTTTGACAAACAAAATTAATTTGGTTATTAATTTTAGTTTTGGCAGCTTTCGGTTAGCTTATCATTAGCCCCTGGTTGTCATGTACATGTAGAACTTTTAGTCCCATATTTATCAACGTGGCGGTATCGATTGAGCTATTAGTTCTTTCGTAGTTATTTTTTAAACTTTGGGAATATTTCGGGCGGCTTTATATTTTTGTTGTTTAAATTTAGGTTCCAGTTTCAATACAAGAAGCTTACTGATAGTGTGGATTTGATTCCCATTAAAATTGATTCCTTCGCAAGAAATTTTTAAACTTTGGAAATATTTTGCGCGGCTTTGTATTTTAACATCAAGCTCATCTGAAGCTGGTCTCCAAAGAACCGTTTTAAATATGCAAATATGGTTTCCAGTTTTAGTTTTTTGTTGAAAAAAATACGTTTGTTTTTAATGTTCTTTTTTAAAGTGCGAAATCGATTGCAACATGACGCCGTCTTTTTAGACGTTGCTCAAGAACCATTTGAGCCACAGAGTTCGTTTTTATATCATTGGATAGAGAATTGGTCATTCGATTCAGTTATAACAACGTGCGTGAGTAAATTCTCGTGGATTTGTTACAAAAGGTCACACGAAACGTTTACATTGTATTTTGTCAAAAATATTTCTCTCTTTTAGGTCCGGAACTTTTTTATAGTGATGGTTTCAATATCCGGTTCTTGAGTGATTTTGCAAGAATAGTTTATCTCCGCCAACTCCATGCGGCTATCGCGAGTTGTTCTAGATATGCAAACAATTTTTTTGTGTTCAGCTTTTCCTCAATATAATATTCAAACAAAAAGGTATCCATCCGTCAAAACCACACCTAATTATGCAAATAAACGTGACTGAAAACGAAAATTAAAGACATAATTATTTACAAATTTGAATTTGAAGGTTACATCAAATCACGTCTATTAAATGATACTTTCATGCAGACCGATTAACGAACAAAAATGGGATGTAATTGACATTACAATTAGATTAACAGATGTCCTCCAAACGATACAGTGGGATAGTACAGGTGAAAACCGTGTAGTTTTCGTTGAAACACGACAAAGAATTGTGAAAACAAACAAAAATTGTTAACACTAACTAAAATTTCGAGCAAAGGGGAATTATACTACTCACTCTGAATTGAAAGTAGATGGCTAAATGGCAAATTCTCTCCCAAAATATTAAGAAAGTTATTCCTCTGTTCTCAATGGTATTTAACTAAGTAATTGACGTCGATTGAAAGTTGCTAGTTCCTTGAAAAATGTTATTCACTAAATTTTCGGATTAAGCTCGTGTATTATTAAAGCTTTAATAATACTTGCATAGTCCACTATTAATAACCATTGTCCAAACCGCTTTTATTTCTATTATATTGATATTACTATTCTGAATCCCTTACTAATAGACAGTTATATAGCATTGCTGAACAGAAAAACAACTCAATATATTTCAAAATGACTTAATGCACACTGACCAATCCATTCCAAAGAATATGTTATTTTGTGTACCTGCAATGGCTTCCAGACACTTAATAAAGGTCTCCATGTTCCGCTCGCAAGTTGCTTCATTGAGGTAGAAGTAAGTTCTGGCCGACTGAACTTTGTAACGCCTATCGGCGAACGTCTTGTCGACATGGTACTGCTTCAGAGATCCATCTTCCAATTGATCACCAGCTGCTGGTACGGAAGCTCTAGAATCAGACCATTCTTTTATGATTAAAACTATCTATAAAACAAAATAATATTGACGAAAACATAAACTTAATAAATAAAATGATAGAATATATTACGAATATCACATAACCATATCAGACCGTGTTATCTACATTATGCTGCAACTGAACAAAATACACAGCATACAGATCATACTGACATACGCATCCACATCCACATTAATAGACCTCGAGCAATTTTATGAAGACCTAACAACAGCCAAAAAGCAAGAAAACACGAAGTTCAAAATTATAATGGGTGATTTTAATGCTAAGATAGGACAAAAAATTGCGACAGACGACCCCAACATCGGTAACTTTGGACTGGGAACACGAAAGAAAAGAAGCGAAATGTTGCTTGACTTCCTGAACAAAGAACAAATGTACTGTACGAGCAAGAACACATTCTTTAAGAAACAGCATTTAAAAAAGTGGACTTGTAGAAGTCCAGATGGCGCAATAACGAATGAAATAGATTATGTCATCACTACAAATAAACAGTTTTGCACCGGTTCTCAGTCGTTTTAATACCGGAAGTAACCACAGAATCGTAAGAACCGCAATAAATATAAACACACACTGGAAAAGGAAAAACAAACGGAGAAAGTAATTCGGCCAACCGCAAACCAACTTAAAGAAAAAATAGAGGATCACAACGCTCAAATCAACAAAAAATGCAAACCAACACAAGCTCTGAGAAATATGACACTCAACGAAAGCCGAAAAATCGTGGGCAATATTCAGGTAGCACCAAGAAAGTATGCGCCATAACAGCAAGAGCTGATACGACACTCAGCCAGAACACCAATGAACTACTGGCAGAACGCAGAACAACGGAGAGAGATTCAGAAAGATATCAAACACTGGATAGAGAAGTAAAGAAGGCAATTACAAAGAACCTGAGACCTAACACACAAACAATAAATGAAGCTATTGAGAACAACATGAATATGAAAGTACTTGGATCAAAGAACAAAAGGAAAGTCGCTCATATACAAACTTAAGAACCAACAAGGAGAAGTTGTTGAGAAGTGAACAGAGAGGCAGCAAATAACATTCACCATCCAGCAAAGGAAAAATTTAAAAAAATTTTACAAGGAACTTTACAGCCAACCGGTACCTAAACCAAACTGATAGAAATTTCAAGTAGTCCAAAATGTGGACTCCGAAGTTATCCCAGAAATTGATACCTCAGAGTTAAGAATTACATTAAAGCAGATTAAGAACCGGGAGGCCCCAGGCGAAGATCTCCTGAAGAAATGTTAAAAAACTGAGGAAAAATTCTTGAGAAAGCACTGATTGTCATATGCCTGGAGGAGGGAAAAATGGAAATATATATTCCCGATATATGGAGAAATGCCGAGGTGAAAAAACTCTTTAAAAAGGGGGACCGAACTAACATAGAGAACTACAGACCCATTAGCCTTCTATTCGTTTTGTGAAAGCTCATCAGCAAAATCATTACCAACCGCCTCAACAATAAGTTTGATTGATTTTTACCAGCCTGTCGAGCTGGATCGGCTGAATTCCGGAGCAGCTTTAGTACATTGGACCAGATCCAAACGGTGCGCACGCTTATTGAGAAGTGTACAGACTAACAATGTCCCGTTACACCTCGCATTTGACTCTGTGGTGCATGGGCGGTGCTAGAGGCGATGAGCAACGCGAGGATCGACTCAAGATATATGAGCCTCATTGAAGACATGTACAAAGATGCTACGCTCCATGTGAAACTAGATGGAAACTGAACAACGGATAAGATCCGAACACAGAGAGGAGTTAGGCAAGGTGACTCAATTTCTCCAAAATTATTCAACCTTGTCCTTGGAAGATATCTTTAGGAAATTGTTATGGAACAGAAGAGAGTCAACATAGACGGAAGATACGTAAATTATCTCCGTTTCGCCGACGACATTGTACACAAAAGCACCAATGCAGGGGAGCTTAGATATGTTATATATGTTAACAATATGTTACACGACCTGAGGGAAGCATCACAAATGGTGGGTCTAGAAATTAAACTTCAAAAAAGCAAGATTATTAGCCCAGACAATATTTGTGTCACTATCGATAATCACGCACTTCAATTTGTAGAAGAGTATATATATCTTGGGCATAACATACCGGGTGACAATAAAAAAATTACAACCAAATTGTCACAAATGTGATATGAGTATGTATCAACATTGAAAGGTTTTATTGTTTTTATTCGATTATCCGCTAAAAATACTACACAAATGTTCTATTTCCATTTTATTCAACACGTTTAAGCTACTTTATTAAGATGTCAAACCAAAGAGAGCCGTTACGAGTTGAAAAGGCGTCCGATCGATATTGCGCGAACGCTCGGCATCGACAAATCTAACGTCCGACGAACGAAGAGGTTTGAAGATCTTGGCTATACTGGTCGCCGTCCAGGAAGTGGCAGAAAGCGCACGTGCCAGTCGAAACTCGAGGGTCTCCATGAGAAAAATCGCGCGTGAGATTGGTGTCAATCGGGAATCAATCCGCCAAATACTCAGAAATAATCTCCATCTCAAGGCCTACAAGCTACAAAAAGTTCAGCTCCTCACCGACTCCTCGACTCGACTACTCCTTCGTCGCCAAGCTTCCTTTCAGTAGGACAAAATCTTCACGGATCACATCGGACATCGTCGAAAATAGCCAAAATCCCGCCGTTATGGTTTGGGCTGGAATTTGCGCCAAGGGCAAGATCTCTTGTTTTCGTGGAACAGGGGGTCAAACTCAAGAAGGACGTCTTCCACCGTGACATCCCCGAAGCCGTCGTACTTCCGTGGGCCTAGCAGCACTTTAGTGATGCGGATTGGACGTTCCAACAGGACTCCGCGCCAGCCCACAAGCCGAAAGCGACTCTGGAGCGATTTTTCCGATTTTGCCTCGTCGGCGGAATGTCCGCCCTACTCGCCAGATCTTAATACGATGGACTACAGTGTGTGATCTCTTTTAGAGGCCAGGTCCTGTGCTACACGCCACAAAACGTTGAAGTCGCTGCGTCGGGATTGTGACCGATTGTCGCCGGAAGAGGTGCGTAGCACAGTAGAAAATTTTGGGCAGCGTTTGGTGCTCTGCCGAGACGCACAAGGAGGCCACTTTGAAACCGGCTGAGTATGTTGTTGAAATCGTTGTTTATTGCTATTTGTTGATAAATTTTGTTTATTGAAAATTACACATTTTATGAAGTTTTTGAGAGGTAATTTTTTCATTGTCGCCCGGTAATGCCAGGCAAGATCAATCAGACAGCCGAAATAAAGAGGTAAGCGCGCTAAGAAAAGCATACAACGATTGCGGATCTGCCAACGTGCGATGGAACGAGCAATGCTCGGAATTAGCTTGAGAGATGGGCAAACGAATGAATATAACAGGGCGAAAACCAATGCCAGTGACGAGGTGAAACAAACTGCGTAAAGTAAATGGTGGTGGGCGGATTATGTCACACGGAATGATATGAAGTGGACAAAAATTATCATGCAGTGGAAACCACGACTAACAAAAAAAAGTGTGGGCAGACCCCTGTTAAGATGGCGAGATGAAATACAGAGACGAACAGGAAAGAACTGGATTCTCGCAGCACAATGAAACAAATGGAAGAGGCCTATGTTCAGGAGTGGACTCAAACAGACTGAAGAAGAAGAAGAGAAAGATATGATCAAAATAATTAATAGTGTGACAATAATTTTCCGGATCCAGAAGTGGATGAAGGTCGGTATGCGAAAGACCCTGAAGCTGTATCACTACAATCCAATGTAAACATTGAGAAAAGACTTATTTTCTGAAGTAACTTCCATTTTATATACGAAACCAGTAGTAGCATCACGGTACGTAGTCGTTTGTGAATACTCTGCCAGGTACAGTTAAAATATGCAAAAAATCGGTTAAAAGATCAATTTTATAGACTTGTGAAATGGGCATTTCATGTATCTCTCCTTATTTAGGTTGCATAACTTTACCACCATATTCTACGACCAACAAGAGACAAAACCTTCATATACAGGTAGAACCACAAACCCTTTGTTTACGATATATTGAGTAGCAAAAGTTAAATTTCGTTTTCACTTCTGTCTCTACAGCTCTTAGCGCGTATCGATGTATATCAAGATATTGACGACTAAAATCAAACTACGGGTCATATATCAGGTTTAGTACCGCTAGTTATGCTAAATGTTTGCGACAATCTACAGGATGTAACTTTGTAGCTTTATGGTCACGTTTACCCGCCCATTCTCCAGTTTTGAAACAATCCATCCAATTCGGAAACTGCCCTGATTTTTGCCCTTTTTTTATTTGTCAGCGCTTTCCAGTTACTTAACGATGATGTGAACTATGATTGGAAAATAGGACAATACAAATATTGCAACTAGGAATTGCAAGAACAAAACTAAACACTGTGCAAATTCAGATGGTAAGCAAAACCTACCTAAAAAGAGCATTATAAACATAATAAGTGAGTGTAACCTGTAAGTCCTAATGGGCTGAAGCCTATGTTTATATGAACTATTTGTCTTATTTCTAGTCGTAGAATATGCAACCTACTTTCGGGTCCCCTTGTATAATTAATTGTTATTATAATTCTAACACTATTAACGATGGGTATAACTGGGTATTTGCTTTAGGTTTCCCCAACTTGCCTGCGATAAGACTATAGCAACTTAATCATCAGAAAAAAACACACAAAATTAACTTACTCAACTTCACGTTTCTCGGCTTCTTCTTGTGAAATATCCTCTTCAACAGAATAGTCAAGGATGGGTTTCACTCCGAACGATCTGAGTCTTTCCAACTTAGGTCGAATTTTGAACTCGTCTTCTCCAGCTACGAAATGCCCATAGAACGTGGCTTTCATCACAGCAGTGAACAGTTTTTCTCCAAGGACGGCTTTACATATTTTCATCAGCTGAAAGTAATAAATAAAATAGGGTTAATTTCAGCCAGTAGATACTTACGAAGTGTGGTGTGTATAGTGTTTAAAAACTTTTTTTTCAACTTTTTTCTATTGCTTTTGCAACTTTTAAGATGTTCATCTCTAATTGGCATTTTAGGTTGCACTGTAGAACTTACATAAGTGCACATTTCAAATAGTTGTGATTATCTACAGGGCGATGTTCTCTAAACAGTCATGATGATAATTCTTTTAATTCGGGATTTTTCTTGATCTGAAAACATTTTGGCTGGATTTTTTCGTTTCCTCTTTGTTCTGACGGTAGCAGATACGAAAAAACCTCAAAAACGGAGAAGTCTCAAAAACCGATCGGACACTTTTTTAAATTAAATCTCAAATCTCAAATAAAAATTATTAGGATTAGAGTACATTAGATACAAAAAAAACTATTTTCTGTAAGTTGTAAAAAGTGTGTAGGTTTAAAAAAAGCTATTTTTAACAACCATTTCACATATCCTTTCTACTGTTCAAATTCTACAACGTCACTTATGTTATAAATTGAGAGATAATGAGAACTTATGAGATAAAAATATCAAAACATACAATTTAAAAACCTGTGACAAAAAACCTAGCTGTTTATATGAATATTTATAAATATCCTGTTTACTAATCGCACTTTAAGATACACAATAAAATAATAGCATACATAAAAAGTCAAAGATTCTTGAATTAGACAGACAAGTACATGTTTTTACAGTAGAAAATGTATCAAAAATGTTTCTCAACTCTATTCCAACATCTGCAAATGATTTTTTTGCTTCAAAAAAATACAAAATGTTTAATTTAAATACAAATGCAAAGTTCAGACTGACCAGAATCTGCTTTGAACCGGTTTACTTAATTTTAGATTTACCTACGTGACTGCAAATACCTTAATATGCAAGACTAGACACATCATTTAATTGTTAAGTTAATCGTTAGCTGTTAGGTAAAAATCACATTCGAAGTACAACCTTAGGTAACGTCTTTCGTTTAATAATAAATCTTAAACAACTTGAAGTAACGCCCTGAATATATTAAATATTGGTAGGATCAACAGTCAGAAAACGAAAGTAAAGATAAACTTAAGTCATTGAATACTATTATTAAGTTATCTCCTTAGGATATAAGTATAAGATATATAAGTTATGAAAAGAAAATGATTTATTACGCACAATGTTTGTATCGCTAATGGCCAAAAAGCCTTACTTCCGTCAAATGTAGCAATTAAAATAATAAATCGGTTAAATTATGGCAAAATTGCCCAGATTTTTGGCCAATAAACTGTAGTTTTGTAATTTGAACACATTAATACTACCGGTGAAATACAAAAAAATAACGCTTTAATATTTATCTGATAAATCACACTTTATTATTCATATTTTCGTGTTGGTAGATTGTGTAACATCATTATCACATTATCAGATATATAATAATCGATTTAATCTTTCAGAGTCAAACCATTATCATAGAAAATGGATAAAGATACTTGAGATCTTTTTGCTACCCTTTGTACCATTTAAAATCTTAAAGGGTCCCATTCCAGAGCACAAATATTTGCCGTGTGTTTACATTAGTGCTCGAAATTTTTAAAAATCTGAAATTTTAATACTTGTTTAGTGGTTTATTCGAATACTCGAATATCTAACGAATATTCGAATAATCGAGTATTCGAGTATTCAACTAGTGAAGTTGTAAGTACATGATTTCAATGTGATTCAATATACAGGGAATGTGTTCAAATATACAGAATTTTTCACAGCCACCATCAAAAATGTTTCATAATATTCAGTGAAGCGTTTAATTAAAAACATTTGCGTTCGTCATTCACCTCAAGAACATTTCTTGTGCTTCGTAAAAGTTTCCAAAAAGTGATTTTTTGCTAAAAATTTTGATTATTCATATTTGTATTGAAATTAATAGTGTTAGTGTTATTTACCGTTTTATAAAATTATTAGAAATGGATGGTGAACAACAAAATCCCACTACTGCTTTATCTGCGCATTTCTGTATCATTTAATTAGTTGATTAGATATTTATGCGTGGCTTAGGCGCACCTCATAAGATTTTATTTTATTTAAAAAATAATGTTTCTGTCAGAAATAGTCGACGTGTATTATAAAACAGTATTTCGAAATCTGGAAAAATGTGTAAAAAAACCGCTAGTTTAAAAAGTTTTCTTTGAGTTGAAAAATAAGTTTTTGATTCAAATTAACATTCGACTAAAAAGCACAGAACATATTTTAAATAAGCTTTTAATTTTTTTTAATACTAATAATTTTTCAATAATTCTAATACCCAAGTATTTTCATAAAGGCATTTACCTTTTTGTATATAATTAGGAATAATCGTTGCCACGCTCTCGAGAAATACGCAAGAAACTGGAAGTTTTGCAAGTATCTTGAAATCAATAGAGATATCGGTTAACAGAATAAACTCCCGCTTAACTCGGGATTTACGTCTCATGAACTAGAGCGTTATAAGAAACAATCATACCATCGTGTTCAGTTACACGACTTGGACTTAACGAATAGCGAGTATATTTTTTTATGTTCAAGTGTTTGGACATTTAAGATAATTAATTATGTTTCCTATAACAATAAATAAAAACTTATTAAAAAAAACAAAACAATTATTTCAAATTATAAATAAAATTCTATGCAACCATTTATATTTGAAATATTTGAAATTATCTCGCATTTTCATTTTTATCAAGAATGTATCTAAAATATTTTGCTATAATTGATTCACGATTCTGTAGTTGTCGATAAGTGCACAAGGCATGACACCGCGTCTTGGCTTTAAACCCCCATCAAAATTTCCGCGATTTTCATTAAATTATTCCCTCATTTCTGTTACAGTGGCTAAAATGGTTTATTGAAAGGCTGTAGGAAGTTCTGTTTGCTTTAATCAATCAATCGTTCTCTTCTCCTCCATCCGCCTATTCCTTAAGCTCATCATTATAAAGTCTCGGATGTCTTTTCAAGTTACTCAGTAGAGAAATGGAAAGTGACTTTTATGGAACACAAAAACGCATATGCAAAATGCTCGGAGCAACAAGGAGATAAATAAATGAGACAGTACAATTAAATAACCTCTCGGCAGCCGAATGGACCGCCTACTTTCTGGGCCTGTTTACAAACCGAAACAGGAACAACGAAGGCCCAAGGAGCCTTGAAGGCCCAAGGAGGTTGAGCCGAAGGAAAGCCATAGACATCGAGGATGTAGAGCAAGACACGGTAACGGAAGTGATATCCGAAGGGAAGCACCTGATAAACGGTAAATCTCTAGGCCTGGACAACGTCTCCAACGATCTGCTGAAGTGCGGACGAGAAGCTCTGGCTGGACAACTGGCCGAACTATTCAACAAATTTTTGAAGGACGAAAATACACTAGCGAGATGGAGACACTGCATCACAATCCCAATATTCAAAAAGGGGGAAACCTCAGATCCAGCGAATTACCGATGAATATAGCTACTAGACACTATACCCGTATACTGTAGCAACGCATTCTCAGTTACACGACAATAAGCGAGGAAAAACCGTTCGACGATTTAGTATAACAATAGAGTATAACAAACCAGCCTACCCATGCTTCATAGATTTAACGAAAGGGTTCGACAGGATAAGGCTGGAGAAGGTTTCGAACGAGCTGGACCGCATCGGAATACCAATATCACGGAGACGGTTAGAAAGCTCGACACAAACAACACCACAAGAATATTAACAACAGAAAAAATAGAGCAAAGCACAGGGATGCGACAGAGAAACAGTTTCAGTCCACTTCTGTTCAACATCATAATGGACAGAATAACAAAGCAAGTGCGCAAGGTCGACCAGGGATACAAGATGGGAAACCAACAACAAGATAATATGTTACGCCGACGACGCAACGCTATTTGCGGACACGGAAGACGGACTGCAACGGCTCTTACAGGCATTTAAGAAAGAGGCCGAAAAAGTCAACATGGAAATTACAACCACGCAGATGCAAACTGGACCTGAATAACAAAACAATAGAGCAGGCTTTTGAATTCAACCATCTGGAAATAAGGTAAACTCAAGAATGGCGTACGGAACCAGATAAACAAGGCAGCCAGATAAGTAAGGCATAGAAGAAGCCTGACGAACAACCATATGGAAAAATACATGCAAATCAATTCCGACCAAAGCTAGAATATATAAAGCATGTATTTGGTCCGTAATCATATAAACGGCAGATACACGAGCTGACACAGCGGGTACAAAAAGGATGGCACGAGCCAACGAAATGAGAATACTAAGAATGGTCACAGAAAACACACTATGAGATCAAAGGCGTGACGAAATTAGAAAATAGTGTAAGACAGAGGATGTGATTAGATGGACACGCGCTAGGAGACGCTTCTGGAACAAGGACATATCCAGGATGGACCACCAGGACGGCCTCCCAAGTAGTGGAAGAACATCTGGTCGTCGGCATCCCAGGAGGGACAAACGAATGGGTAAAACAAGCTTAAAGGCTTCCGCAAAGAAGAAGAAGAGAAGTATTTTACAAACATTTTGTTATCTTCCACAATTACTTCATCTAAGCATGTTCGCTAGATCCACTATTTCGTTCATATCAACTCTTTAGTATCATCGTTCTTGTTCAGACCTGATCAAATGTGTTGCCCATTCAATTAACCAAAACACGTTTAGGTAACGTAAATCAAAAGTAGCAATGCAGGTGCAGTTAATGCGTAATTTATACGTAGGATTTTGGGAAATCCCAGCGTTGCGTGCACTTTTCAGCAAAACCCCTTATTCCAGTAAAGCTTGTACATCTATAAGTTAAATCCAGTACCAAAAAGACAACAAGTTAATGATGTGGGAATGACCTACTTTAGTAAATGAATATCGGGAATGACCCACTTTAGTGATATAGTTCTTTCGCATAGTTGTAAAAGTGGTAACAATAAAATTAACATTTTTTCCGAAAATTTTCCAAAAATA